TCAAAACCCCATTGACTCACGAACTAAGTGAACCCGAATGAGACTTGATGCTTTTTTTTTTTCAAATATGGTTTTTTTCCTATATTTTTTTTTTCATATTTTTTAGTTGGTTATTGATATTTTTTAAAATTCATTATATAATTATTAAAAAAATATTTTATTTTTTTAATGTGAGATTTGAAATCCTTTTATACCCCTAAACCGGGTCTAATAACTATAAAAAAAAACTATTACAACAATAATAAATAATAAAGAAACTACTTTATAAAACGCAAATACCATTAACTCTAATATTTTATCAAAGTTAAGGGAGACATATAGAACTCATAATATTATAAAAATGTAATAAAAATAGATGATAAGGCTTGCATAGTTCTTAGTTTTAATCCAAAGTAGCATTTTCATGCAATGCCATTAGTTTTTGTCATAATAACGTTAACATATGAATAACGAAGAAGAACTAGTATCTTCAATCAAAAAGAGAGAAGAACAAGAGAATGGTTATAAAAGGGTTGTTTATCTTCTTCTTCTTCTTCTATATATATATATATATATATATATCAAAATGAGTATGATAATTTTCATGTTTTTTTTATATTTATTTTGATTTTATGTCTAACATCACACACACATATAAAACATAAAAAGACCAAATAAGATGATCTCCTCTCTGTTGAATATGGTCATGTGTTTATGTTAACTAGCATAAGATTAACATTTGATTGATCGATTGGAGAGAATTGATGATCAATAACCTTAATTTAGTTAGTCTGAAATATTTCTTATTTGATAGGAAGGCAATACATTTATATACACTTACGAACTTCTATAATATGATTTATTTTTTTAATTCAAAGAAAAATGATAAGTTTTTTAATTAGAAATAAATTTTGATTTCAATTAAAAATTATTTACACAACCGGTTGAAAATTTTTATTTAATAAAGATTAAAAAATTGAACAACTTTCTTGATTCTAACCTATTCCACTACATATTTTTTCTTTAAAAAAATTATTTCATCAAAGATGTTTATAACTTAATCTATTTCTATTATAAGTTATTATGACACACAGATTCATTTGATTTAACTCAATTAGAAACTGAACTACATCGTTAATTTAACCCAAAATAACATAGTTATAATGATTTAAAATAACCCAAAATAACATAGTTATAATGATTTTTTTTAAAAAAATATTATTTTACAAAAACATAAAAATAAAAATTTCTTTTAAGCTAACCCGAACGTGTTGATTACAGCAATGTCTAAACTATTTTGAAAAAAATTAAATCTAGCCTAACCCAAGCTCCGGTTAATGGATCACCGAGTCCACTTGCATGATGGATTTCATGTATATGTGCCAAGCCAGTCCTTGATCTCCCTGACATGTTATGTATTTATTTATAATGATATTTATTTCCACCATGAATCTAATTGTCAGTATGCTTGAGCACAACCCTATCCTGAGAAATATCTATTTATTTATAATGATATTTATTTCCACCATGAATCTAATTGTCAGTATGCTTGAGCACAACCCTACCCTGAGAAATATCAATTTAAATCCTCACATCCGTCTAGCTTTGAATTTGTAATTTTGTATTTCTTATGGACCCCCATAATTTTCCGTTTCTCACTTGGGAACAAAATCTACCCTCCAAATCAGTCGCCACACTCTTCCGAGGCTCAACTCCCACGAAGACCTTACCCCACCGGGCCACCGGTGCGCGCTGATGTCTCCGAGCTGCCACCCCTGCTCTTGTCGGCTCTACACATGGTAAGCTCTATTTTAGCTCCCATAAATAAATTCCACGTCTATCTACTGCGGTCCGTTTATAATTTTAACTAGATAATTTTCTTGAGGTTTTATAATTTAATTTTTTATTTAACTCATGTTTTAAAATAAATTTTATGGGAGTTAATTCATTGATTAGTTTTATGGGTTCAAATATAATCTTGATAACAGGTAAAAATATGATTTAATTATTTTTTAAAAAATATTAAAATTATATCATTTAAAAAAAAAATATTAAAATAACGACATATCCACTCAATTTCATTCCTCGAGCTACTAATGCCATGGACTCCTTTGAATTTAATAATAATTTTTTTAATTATATTCATAGTTTATTTCTCAACCAATTAAATATTAAAAAATAAGATCAAGAAAAAAATATTAAAAATAATTGAAGGATTGGTAACAAAAAAAAAAAAAAACATATGTGGTCAATGGATGAACTCATTGAATCTGTGAATCAGGTAACTTGAGTTAGCATGTTAGACTTGTAAACTAGGTTAGTGACTCTAGTGGGATTATAATTTATTTTTAAAAAAATTATTTTTTATTTAATTACGTAATAACAAAATTACAAAACTAAATATCAACTTAATATTGAAATGCTAAAAAATATAATGAAAAAAAGAGAAAAAAGTTAAACTTGTCATGCCTTTCCTATAAAACTATCTATTTTCTTGAAATATAAAAAAGAGTTAAGTTTAATTAAAAAAAAAAGAGAGAGAGAAAGAGAAATAACACCCCCAACAAACCCATTTTGGACCAATTACTATTTAAAAAAGGATAAATAAACAAAAAAAATTCACATAGAAGTAAAATTTAAATTTAAAAATTATTTAAAAAAATTAAATGAAAACAAAAACAAAACAAAAAATAAAATCAGGCCTAACATCTAGTTCATGACTAAAGGTCCTGACCCTTTTTGGTAAAAAAATAACAATGAGGTAGATTATATAAGCTGCCCCAATTTAATTTTTTTTAAAAAATAACATGTTATTTAGCATACCCCAATTTCAACCATTATAATAGCTAGGAAATCAGGGTGAGTGGTTTTTCTTCTTCTAAAAACCAATTTTCAACCCCAAACACTTAGAAAATATCATCGAAACCTTATTCAACTCATTCTTAATCTTCAAAAGCATAAAACACTAGTCCAAAACTAAGAATCAACTTGAAACCCAATTTCTTCCCTAGCTTAAATTTGTTTTTTATAATATTTTCAAGGTAATATAACACGTAATTCAAACTCTTCTTATTAAATAAAACTATTTAAAACAAAAATTTAACATTTTGGTGGCTAGAATAATTGAAATGAAGCTTTTCTCTCTTTAGATTGGATTTCAACAATTACCTTTCTTTTTTCTTACTCAATAAGAACTGAAAACTGATAAAATTAAAAAATATAATGGATAAAATTAAAAAATATAAAAGGACCGGTCACCTTAGATAGAAAAAACACAAGGGACAAAAATAAAGTTCACCAACAAATTCAAACATGTCATCTATGTTACCCATGTATTGCACTTCAATCACTCATCTTGTAACCTATCACCTTATATATATATATAAAACATGGGAGATAAAAATGTACTTCACCGAAAAATTTGAACACGCCACCTATATTACTAGCCTATTGCACTTCAATCACTCATCTTGCAATTCAACCCTTACAAAAAAAAAAAAAACATGTAATTGAGCTCTAATTTGAGCTTAATTGCATAAAAAAAAGTTCAATGATCAAATTAAAAATTATCAAAATTCTACTAATATAATCTACAATAAAATATTAAAAAGGGTGAACAATGATGTGACTATAATAAAAACACCACACTATTTAGCTTTATAGATAATTTTCTCTATAATTTCTTAAAGTTATTCACTATTTTATAAGGTGTTTGAGGTTGTGATGCATGATACTTTTCAAAATGGCATTTTACTGAAAATACTTCAAAATAAATTTTTAACATCAAAATATCATAATTTTCAAATAACACTAAAAAAATCATCAATTTAATATGTCATAACTCAATTTTTTACTCCTTTTATTTTTGTGTGAAATGATAAAAATGAGGAATAAATTGAAATTTGAGCCAAGACAACATAATTTAGAAGTTTGAGGGACTTAATTGGACTTGGAATTATTTAATTAATGGAATCAGGGACCTAATTGATAAATGTTAGAAGTTCAGGGACCAAAGTGAAAAATAACCATTCCCAAGGACACAAACGACACCATTTTGAAGAGTTGTTCATTATCCCTTTCATTTCGCGCGGAGAAAGCCTATTCAATAGGGGAAACTACAACAATTTGATCTGATCATAGACCACGTCTTTGCCCACAATCCCGCTCGTAGATTGATTAACAGTCCTGTAAATGCAGGATTGTAACAGGGATTGGTTTTGGCAAGCTCTCTAGCTCTATAAAAGGCAAAGCAACGGAGGGAGAAGAACAAAGAAAAAAAAGGAGCAAAAAAGAATATACAGATAAAGAAAATAAAAAGAGATTGGATCAAGAGAGGGAGCATACAGGAAAAAAGGAACACAAAGGGGAGCAAAAATTTTCCCTATTTCTTCTCAAAGAAATAGAGGAGGCCACTAAGAAAAGAACACGAGCAGAGAACCAAAAGAGAGAGAGGAGCATGAGAGAAAGGGATCGAAAACAAAGGGTGAAGCGAACAAAATCAGAGGAAGAAGGCAACGACCAGAAGTCCTCCATTACGTCTCTACTTCTTTGTGCCTATATAAGCTATTTTTTTTCCTTTCATTTTCTTTGCTTCATTTGAGTGAAGAGCATTGCACAGTGCGAAGGTAATTAATTACTTTCATGTTGTGCATGCACTCGTGGAGACATTCCACGCGTGCCTCTTGTTAGTTTGGGCCCAACTGAATTATTCGTTTGGACCTGTAACCAGGTCGGGCTAGTAGGTCTAACCCATTCTTGATAGATTAATATGGATCTAGCTCAAAAAAAATAAAATAGAATAATCTCTTAACAAGTCAAACAAAATAAAGTGTTAATAAGATTTACATTGAAAATCTCATGGTCACAATTTAACAAATAAAAACAATAAGAATCGAACTGAAACGTTTCTTGATATTCGAGGAGTGAAACGTAGTTTACCCTGAAAAAGCAATATCCACAAATCCTCAGTGTCATTTGGTAAATTCAACCACAAACTCTAAGTATAAATACACCACACACAATTCTCACGCTATCTCAAGCTGTCATATATATAATATATAATAATTCCTTCACTCCATGCTGCTTCGCTCTTGCCGTGTAATCCCTCGAGAAACTCATCGCATTTTCATTTCCAGGTAATTCATTTCACTTTTATCGAGAATTAGATTCCAATTCCTCATTTGCTTCTGTATTTGAATTCTCTTTCACGGAATCCGAAGATCGATCAGTTCGAGAAAGTTCGGAATGGCGCCTCCGATCTTGTCCTTGGCTATTCCTTCAGAGACCGGTCGCGTTCTCAGCATTCAATCGCATACTGTTCAGGTATTCGTTTTCTATCCCTGTAGAGAATCTGAGGTTTTGATTTTCGTTTCCTGTTTGGTTCTCGAGAAAATTGACTGCGAAAGTGAAGGGAGGCTGTGAGAGATGACTTTTGTGGTCAAAGTGTTGACTTATGTGTTAATCTAAGCTTATACAGAGTTGAGACTTTCTATGGATAGTTGTGTTTAGTTGTGATTTGTGAAAATTTTAATTATTTGAGTGATTATGATAAGTTTGAAAATTTATGTGAAATGTGGTTTCATAGGAAGTCGTGATAATAATTTGTAAATGTTGGAGGTGTTATTGGTTTTGGACTAATGTGTTGTGTGTTTTGCGAATTCTTGCATTTGCTTTTTGCTGTAAATATTGGATGGTGATAAAAAGGGACGAGTTAGGTGATCGGTGAAAACCAGGAGGGTGGAGTGATGATGTAATTAATGAATCATTGGTTTAGATTGGTTATAAATGGATCTTATTTTCAAATGTTCTATCTTTGTCGTGGTTTTCATGTTTGTGGGTTTGTCACTTTGGGTGCGTGTGGAGCGGGGTTGACTGCGGTATGTTGGCATGCTGCTAAATGTGAACTGAATCTTCTTAAATTATTAAGAGAATAATATAAATGTAAATGAATTTCAGAATGTCCTCAGTTCATCTTAATCATGTCAAGATTAAGTTTAATCCTTGTAATCCATGGACAAAAGGGATATGTAGTGCCTTATTGTTTAGTGATGTTCTTTATGAAAGAACATATTTTGCAAACAGATGAAAAAGGCAATCTTAGTGGGAGGGTTGGAAATTATACTTTTTTGTTCGCATGTCTGAGTACAGTCCAAACATTACTGATATATGTTCAAGATGAATCTATCATATAGAATCTAATGTATCATTCCATTGAGTTTACAATGTAGTGGTTCCTATGGCTTATGTAGGTCAGGGATATCATGTTGGTCATCCAAGTAGTTGGTTATACATGCCATGGTGTTTGTAGTTTTCAAATGCATTCTTAATGTGATTTTATGTTTGGTAGATTCATTCCCATAGTAACATTTGTATTGTCTATTTCCATTTAGGGATATGTTGGAAATAAATCAGCCGTCTTTCCTCTCCAACTATTGGGCTATGATGTGGATCCAGTCAATTCAGTACAGTTCTCAAATCACACAGGCAAGCTGCTTATACTACTTCACTCAATCAGTCTCAGATATACGGTGCGATGCTTGTCAATCTGTATAATTCAGGCATGGTCCCCTAAGCAAATTGCGGGTCAGTTAATGCTTAATGGATCTGAAAATTGAACAGGATATCCAACCTTTAAAGGACAAGTTTTAAATGGACAGCAACTATGGGAGCTAATGGAAGGCCTCCAAGCAAATGACTTGCTGTATTATACTCATTTATTAACAGGCATGCCAAATGAATTGCTGTGTTATTTTATTTATTTAATTAACAAGAAAATTCTTCTTCTGTATATTTGGATTAGTTCTTGCTGTTATTTTGCAGGCTATATTGGTTCTGTTTCATTCTTGAACACCGTTTTGGAAGTTGTCAAGAAGCTACGTTCTATAAATCCAAAACTTACATATGGTGAGTAGATTATTCCAGCATATTTGCTCTTTGCTTCCTCCTATCTCCAGAAGAAACCCGTGGATTTTCAACTACCTGAATTGACTCTGACTACAGTGTGTGCTTCTTACTATGTTCATTAGACAACTTACCTGTTTGTTTTAAAGAATCATCATCTTTATACCACATGTGCATGTGAGCTCACAGGTTATGTGATATACATATCCATGACTAGTAAAGCTGACTGAATATACCTTTGAACTGGCCAGAAATATTGTTGTATTTGTTAACAACTTTGTCTATATCTAGATCCTTGTCTGTTATGAGTGATCATGGTGAAACTAAAGCCAGTCATAATATCAACAGAAGAGTTGTAATGGCTATTATTTCTTTTCTATCCATGGTAAGTTTAAAAGAAGCTGGTCCAATGAACTTTGTGAACTTCAAGCTGGTATTTGTAGTGCTAGTAAGGCCTCTAATAAAGTCCTGTCTTGTCTATAAAGATAGATTCCCTACTCTGTGTTTTTCACTTTAGCTCTGCTGTAAAAATAGAAAGGAGGTCATTGGTACACCATGCATATTTTCCATTTTTTGTCTTCTTTATTCAAATGAAATATAGAATGTCTGTCCATGATGTTATTTTTCTTTTTAGTTTGTGATCCTGTTCTGGGCGATGAAGGGAAGCTTTATGTTCCGCCAGAGTTGGTAGAAGTATATCGTGAGAAGGTGAGCAGTTCAAGTGTTACACTTGTGGGCATGCATGTGTTTTATTCTATACTAGAATCTTGGGCAAAGTTTGAAATCTCTGGGTTATGTGGAAGCAATGTGCAAAACTTTACCTTCAATTGAGTTGGGTGGATCATTTTGATTAAACAAGCTGAGGAGAAAATAATTCTTCATTTGATCTAGATAATGGTTTGATTTGCTTAATAAATTTTTGATGCGAAGGTAAGTGATAAAGTTGATGTAATGGTGACAAAGTGGGTGACAAAGTGATAAAGTTGATGTAATGGCTTGCTTTGCTTAATAAATTTTTGATGCGAAGGTAAGTGATAAAGTTGATGTAATGGTGACAAAGTGGGTGACCTTCATGTTGCAGGTTGTTCCAGTGGCTTCAATGTTGACCCCTAACCAATTTGAAGCAGAACAATTGACTGGATTCAGGTATTTGTCGATAACATAAAATAGAATGGTGAAGTGAAAATTTTGATTCTATATGTTTCTGTCAATTTCTTACTAGCATTCCTAGTTTTATGTTGAAAAATCTGTGAAACTGAGACTAGGGAATATATAACAAATTAGTCCATGACTGGTATATGTTAAATGTGAAAAATTGGAATTACAATTATCCTGTCTACACTATGAAAATTCTAGCAGTTAAAAGTCACATGGTTTCTTAACCAAAACATTTCCAGAAGCTTCTAAAATTTATACACAGCCAAGTTAAAAAGTCCCAAGTCCTTAAATATGATGAAATGTCTTCAATCATAAAAGGGGCTTCACCTCTTAATAAGGCACCGATCCTCAGATTCATTCATCCATTTTGCAGTCTTTAAAAACTCTAATTTGTGATGGGGGCGTTATTCTTATAAGTTCAAGCTACTTACATCTAGGCATTCTGTTCATGTCTCCTTCAATTGAATATTGCTAAAACTTTTATGTTGCACCTCTTCGTTTTCTGGCTCCCATATATTAGTGCTTTTATTCTACTTTCTAGCAGGGTTTCACCTTTTGAGGGGTTAATTTCTCAAAAGATGTAGTAGTTCATATAAGATTGTAACATATGACAATGACCTTGCTCGTGCTATTGACTATGGTAGGAAGCTTTAGTTGTGGAAATGTGCAATCCTTACTCTTTATGGATGAGAAATTAAAAGTAGCATGCTTTGTATCTCCTGGAGGAACATGCCTCATAAGTAGTTAATATGTACAATGACTTCAACCATGCAAATTGACTTGATATCTGCATATCAACTGGTTTTACCTCACGACAACAAGATTTTCAACATCTTCAATCTGCCTAGGTTTCATCTTTATTCGATATGAAACTTTTGATAATTGACAACTTTTTATCTGGGTCTTGCAACAACAGGGAATGTATAGTATGTTGTTTCTCTTTGTTATAGCTTCTTCTTTCCTTCAATATTTTGCCTTCTGATGAGATTCTCTATACAGGATTGTATCTGAACATGATGGCCGGGAAGCTTGTAACAAGCTTCATGCTGCTGGACCTGCAAAGGTTTTGCTAAACTACCGTATCTTGATCTTATTTTGAAACCTATTCATCTTCAATGGATTGTGAAATTGGAACTCTCCTTGGTTTCCTGTTTCGGTGAATTGTATGTCCAATTATTGGGTAGCTTAATAACACAAGATTTATGATTTGTATGCAATATTTCTCATTTTCATGGCATGATTGTCATCCTAAGTTAGATTTTTCATTGAGATTGCAATTTCTTGTCAATTGCCTCACTTCTCTACAAACATAGGATTTTTTGTAGGAAAAAAACGGTTATCTTAGAAAAGATCTTTTGTTGCAAAAATCAATCACATGCTCTTTAACTGCCTTGTGTAAGCATTTATATAAAAAAAATTGGTTATAAAATGCATGTAATGTTGTTTGATGTTGCTATTGCTTTAACAATATAGTGTAATGCATGAATTTTGATGATTCACAGGTTGTGATAACAAGCATCAATATAGATGGTCACCTTCTTCTTATTGGCAGCCATGAAAAGGAAAAGGTGGGCACCATGATATGTGATGTAATATGTCAAGGGTTTACATTTTGATTTTGGTTCCAGTTTCATTTCTCCAGAATCCAAGGACTTATGATGGTGTAGAAGTATCACATTTCATGCCATCACATGCTGTTATTTAGATACTATTTTTTGGATATATATTCATGAATTGATGAAAACAACTGCTTTTTTTTTTTTTTAGTGTGTGTACTTCTCTGTGTTTCCCTAAAAAAGCTTAATTGGATGAGTCAACTTCTTCTCTTTTTCTTTTTTTGGCATAAACACTTCAGTTTCTAGTATCACTATTATCTCTTATTTGGCACACAAAAATGAAAACCAATATCAGATATAAAGGGAAGGTTGCTATATCTTCACAGTTGGTATAAAGTCACATCTTTGATAACATAGATTCAAAGAGGCATGGCAATTTCACGCAATCTATCGGATATTTGGTGTTACTTAATCAGACTGGTTTGGATTTTTTTTTTTCCAGTTTGATCAAGGTCAAATGGAGTTGGATAAAATCCAACCCAATTTGACTGGAGTTGGAGTCAGAGTTAGGTGTGGGTAAGTGCTTCACCCGACCGAGGCCTCGACTTGGCCCCCTCAATTTGTTTACTATTTTTTAAAAATATGTATAGATTTTTAGTAAAACATTTTAATTTTCAATGTGAAGCATGAAATGCAATTTTTTTTTTTTTGTTTAGAGAGTGTTTTAATGATTTTACATTTGGATTTGAAGTTTAAACTATATTTGATGGTTTTATGATCGATAGATTTTATCTTTGAAATTTTGATTGAAAAAAAGGGATCCGGTCATTCTAGGGTGGAAAATTTCTACTCAACCCTATCTGATTGGGTTAGAGTCAAAATCTGGTGATGGGTGCAGATGTTCCAGATTGGAGTCGGGCGGAGCAAAATCTGACTCCAGTCTGATCCGTTGCCATTCCTAGATCCAAATGATATTTATCTAAATCCTTCCACTTTTCACCTCCTTGCATTCTCAATTTAATCCCATTCATGTAATTGTTATATTCAAGTTTTCTATATTTTTCAAGCGTTGCATGCATATTCAATTGTATCCAACAAGTGTAGGAGACATACACTAAGGCGACAGTTTCCTGTCATTTTAAACAGTCAATTTGGCCCCATCCTTCTTAATTGTATCCAAGTATATCTATCTTATAGAGGAAAGTTCTGATTTCTTCTTAATGGTCTCTCTTAAAACTTGGCATCAGTCAATTTTTTGATAGCTATCTTGAATTTGGCACCAATCATTTGTGTTTTTCAGCTTTAGGTCATTTTGTTTCTTGGCTGTCTTAGAGATTTGCTTTTATCCATATCCAGTATGCTCAATATTATCGTCAGCAAAACATGCATCACTAGTTGAAAATTGTGTGTGTATATTTGTGCAACGGAAATTTTCTAGTTCAATAGGGAAACTTTGGGGCTTGATGTATGCTTGTGTAATTCCCTATATTTCTTAAATGTTATTCTTCCCCTGGTATTTTGGATCATTTAGAATCACAAATAAGGTTTCTGTTCGCAGTTGTAATGCTTGTCTGTGGTTTTTTTATAGGGCCAGTCTCCTGATCAATTCAAGATTGTGATACCCAAAATTCCAGCGTATTTTACAGTAAGAATTCTTTAATTGTGACCTTATTTCATATTTTGACTTGTAATGAACCAAACACACACACTTTTTGGTCATGATTTATTATTTTAATTTAACTCAATGTGCTTGAAGCACAACCTTAGTATTTGGCATTTTTATCCTCTTTTCAGCTACGACTTTTTAGTAGTATTATATAGGGTTGCCTGTGCATGGTACTAAATATTTTCTTGTGTTGTTTTTGTGAAGGATCGCATCAGATCATCTGTATGTTATTAGCTTACTAGTCAACACTATCAGAACATTGTCTTGTGAGATAAGAGAAAGTTAGCTCTCTTCTTACTATTTTGGTGATTGTTTTGCATTTTTCTGAGAGTTTGAGACATTATTACATTTGGTAATTTCATGATGGAATGATAGCATCTTAATGAAATAAAAAGGAAAGTACAGTAATCAATTTTGGAAATATACAGTGCATGATTAAAATTGTAAAAGAAATCAACAAGCTTTGTCTAGCCCTCAGGGGCAAGATGGCCAAGTGAGTTGCTAACATTAGATTGCTGGAATTCATTTTTCATGCCGCTTTTTTCTTCTTTTGTTCTTTCCTGTTGCCTTAATTGCATAGATGAATATTGGAAGCGTGGTAAGATGTGCAACCACATTCAAGGTAAATGATAGACACTCTTAAATATTAAGTTTCTTTAGTGCAAACTAACTCCATAAAGTGCAAACTACCTATCTATGAGTGCTGTGTGTTGGGATTAATGCTTGATTAGTCCTTGATATGTCACAGTGCAAGCTTAATCCTTATATTTTAGCTGCTTTATGCCTAACATCCCCTGCCTTGGATACTCCAAATCAGAGCTATTTCTTCCTTTGTTTTCAAGTCTCAGCTGAAAGCAAATGCAAAGCTTTTAAACTCATTTTAATCAATCACTGATTAATATAATTCATGTTTTATTCCTAACCACATTGCATTTACGGTCATAATTCCCTGGGATCTCTGAAGTAGACAAAGTGCAACTGAGTTGATGCAATTGTGAATTGTCATATTCATTGTGAGGTTTGATGTTCATATGTCAAAATTTTGTACTTTTGTAATTTCATGTGGAACATTAGGAAGATGAGATGCATTCTCTTCACTAAATAAAGACTCTTCGTAACTTTTTAAAACAAAGGTTAAAGGAGCAATAACAGAGATCAAGATTTGCTAATATAGTTCTATCCACAAAAATTAAGAAGGCTTCTTGAATGATGCTAACTCTGTTGTGAAACTTGATCAGGACAGACGTAAGCCATAACTAGTTTGGACTTTGGAATTCAAACATTGCATCTTAACCCATATCGTATCAAACCTTAAGCTGTGCATTCCCCCTTACATGTTGTATTTAAATCCACCTTTATTCCCCTTCTGGTTGGAATATTTTGAATTATCGAGACAGAAATCTTTGACTCTTTAGCATAAATGTGGTCATAAGAAATTGAATACCATTTTTTCTTCGCAAGAATGTCATAAGATGCTCCATAATAAAATATGATTTTTGCAAATGTTAACCCTTATGTTGTTGAGTTTCTTGCAATTCTCATTCGATTTAGCGAGCTATGCTGGCATTCCTTACAAGATGCTCATCAATGTATGTATCTTCTTGTGCTTGTAGGGAACAGGGGATCTAATGACTGCACTCCTGCTTGGATGGAGTAATGTAATATCTTTGTTCTTTTCCAATTTTGATTCTGTCATTTTCCTTTTCCATGTAGTGTTTTATTGCGTGTCATTTTTTATCTTCATGTAATCCAGAAACACCCAGATGATCTTGCAAAGGCAGCAGAGCTCGCAGTATCAAGCTTGCAGGTATGTCTCTTGCTGATACGTGATTTATACCATGTTTGTATGTCATGTCCCTTATGCATGGAAAAAGAGTTCCCATTTGAAATACTTGCCATATCGAGGGTAAATTGTGGTTGCGTAATTCTTTTGATGTTTGGACTACTTGTAGGCAGTTCTGCAGAGGACTTTGGATGATTACAAAACAGCTGGGTATGATCCCCAGTCAAGCAGTTTGGAAATTAGATTGATCCAAAGCCAGGATGACATTCGCCACCCACAAATTAAATTTGAAGCTGAAAACTACTCCTAAAATGGGTGGAATTTCTGTTTTGGAAATGTATTTTATTCTCGTAGCAAATAATGGGACACTCGTGGTGTTGTCCCACAAGCTATTCCGTTCAAGGCAGTAAAATTTTGCATTTGGCAACAGTAGGAAATATCATGTTTTTTTAAAAAAATTTTGCATTTGGCAACAGTAGGAAATATCATGTTTTTTTTTTTAAAAAAAAAATTAGAAATAGGAAAAAGGAAGAAAAGAAATATTTTATATGCAATTGGATGAAGGATAAAGCCTTTTTCTTCTTTTTTTCTTCATGAAAGTGCAAGGTAAATAATATTCTGTCATATTGGATGCCACACTCGAATTCATATAACATAATAAGTCGATCAATCTTTTCATATTGCTTGACAAGCCAATCTGCCTATTGAAATCGAAGAGGTTCATTAATATTCACGGAAGTTTTTCCCTCGGGTGGTGGATCCAGGGTACCAATCAGGAGAGGTTTTTACAGCACTTGAGACTCAAAACCTGGTTATCATGTCGAATATGTACAGACACGAGGTTCAGAGAGAAACCCCAACGGATCATGTCTGATGGATGAACTGGGATGTTGAAGGTGAATAAACGACCTCCTTGTCCTGCCACATCAATGCAGCAACTACCAGAGCACAGGGTTCAATCCATGACTTGTAAACTCAAGCCAACAATTAAAATGAAGATGGATCAGATGAGAAAACTACAAACAAGTCGGCATCTTCTGGTCTCTGTTTTTGTATTTGTATACTTTTCAGCGGCACCATAGCTGCCGACAGAACCAGAGAAGTCGCTGGAGGTCATCTCAAATTGTTTGGTTGAGACCGACTTGCATCCAGATCATCGAAACGCAGAATGCTAATGAAGTTGATGGTTATGCTGACGTAGATGGTTTCATTTTTCCTGATAGTCTCTGTGTTTGAATATGGACAGTTCATGTCGAGCCCAGAGAAATGTCAAGTGGGCAACACAGTTTTGTGGAGTGTTCCCAGAACAGATACGTCTGAGAATTATGTAACAACAGTGGTTCATCCCATTAATTTAATTATTGATGAAGCTTCTCTTTCAGTGTGGTGTTCTAGCGCCGCTGCAATGTTCGTGTTATTATTCTAACAGAACCCAAATCCAAGGAATGAATCGAGACCAGACAGCATAACCCTAACTTGCCAAGCTCAATTCAAATGCCTCTTGTTAAGAAGGTGGTTGGTTTTTTCGTTTGGTTGCCATTGCGAGAGAAGCATGCTGAGTTTGCAAGCATCCACTTTGAATCACCTCTTTGTATTGCCTCCTTTAAGATTTTAATATAGAAGAAACTTATTTATTTTATGTTTTTATTTATATTTTTATAACTAGACACGGTTTGGTGTTAATATTTTATTTTCGTTTCTTCTATCTCGTGAAGTACACATACTGATAAGATTTTTCTAGGGGAGGACAGGGGTGTGTGTTGATCTTATCTGAAAATGGATAGGTATTGTTGTAATGTGGCAGAATAGTAATCAGCAAGGCAATAAAACCAAGTGGTAAAATCAATAGCTATGGTACTAAATGCTAACATGGCCAAATCAATGATCCCTGTTGAGTGACGAGGCAAGTCTAAACCATCGCCATTAAACTATTGCCATTGAAACCTACTACTCGCTCTTCGAAGTGGAAAGGAACCCCTGAGGTCCCCATAGCCACCATCAAAATAGATAAATTATGGTTTACTAGTGTTGGCCTTTATGGACCACAGGTTTTTCTTGTGGATGCAATTTGTGCTTCCAAGCTTTCTTGGTTGTGGACCCCTCTAACTCCATCTACAGTCCATTTATAACCAACTTTCACTCCAGTTTCTCAATTCTCACTTCTCACCCTCTATACATGCCATTGCCCTCTCTCTTCAGGTTAGTTCCACTCGGTTTCTCTTACTTTTCTTGCTTTCAAGACTCCAGCTTTGAGTTGCCTTTTTCTTATGATTTTAATCTGTGAACTGATTCTAGTTATCTTGTAATAGCGTTTCACACTTTTCAGCATCGGGGTTTCTTTTATTTCTTCTCTGTAATTTGCCATTTAAGTTTATACAATTGAAGATATCACTTGTCACCATGTTTCATGTCAAGGGATTGGGAATGCTTTTCAAGCTCTGAACTTAAAGCCCTTAGTAAGAAATTGTAAAGCTACATGATTCCTAAAGAAAAAATTTCATGCCTAAATGAATTAACCAAGTAGCGTTGTTGCAAAATAAGATGAATGGAACTACGAGGAGAACTGAATTGTGGCTTTCTAATCTTAGTTCTGGTGCAGAAGTTTACTGCAATATCCTAAATTTTTTAATCCAAGTTTTAGGAACAATCAGTTCTTAAAGTTGTACCTAAATAAAAAGTGGTAGTTCCTTAGAAGTTATGGATTTAAGATTACGGGATTTGTGAGATGTGTTCAATGACTCATGTTTTGGAGATCCAAGGTATCAATCATTTGACACTTTGAATGTTTTAAGATTTTAATAATGCATTTGGTAATCCCGTTGGTAAAATGTGGAGAAGACATTCGCCCAGATCATGTCCGTTGATTTAGATTTTGTGCTGCAAATTGCATTTTTTTATCTGTCAGATCATAATTACATATGATTTGTTAGATCGATGCGGACTGAATTCATTGTTTTGTATGTTCATGATTTTGACCATGTGTCTATTAAGAAATTTGAAATGACGGGGATCATAATGTTTTGATGTCTCATGATTCACATCTATTTGATATGAATTTTGACAGTTATGAATAATAATCCCTTTTTTAAGATTGTTCTGATAGTGTTCTTGTTCTCGCTTAAGCTTGGAGCTGTTGTGAGGGAAATTCTGGCTGGTATCATTTTATTCTTGTCTTGATCTTTCCCATGGCACTTAATGCAAGCAAGGTTTCAAGCAGCCCTTTTGTGACTAAAAGGAAACTTACCTCTACGTCTCATGGAATCATATGTTCCTTTTCCAAGTCATTCCAAAAAAATAAACTACACCCTACTCATCAAGGAATTGAGCTCCAACAACTGAGCAGTAAGCATCTGTTGACAGCAAAATCGGCCTTCTCTGGTGAGAGTTTGCAGGGCATTCATGGAAAACCAGTTAGTCTCATCATCTCTCGCAGATCTTCCACATTATGCCAGTCGACAAGAACTCATAGAACTGAAGAAAAAGAATGTACTAGATCATACGGTGACAGTTCTGATTCATCCAGGTCTGATTACATAATTACTTGTGTTTCACCACTTGAAATCTACCAGACATGTCAATAGACATCCTTACTTTTATCATTGGACTTGTCTTTCTGCCATTTTCATTTCAGTTAACGGCTTCAATTTAACTGTGGCACTAAGTAATTTACTCCTCCTAGCAACATTGCTTACAGTGCTAATCAGCAGCTCTTACAATTCATATTTCATATGATTTAAGGTGAATAACAATCCATGCTTCTAACATGGAATATCGGTGTTAGAAGTACAAATCTTAGCTTCTAGGCTTGTGGAATCTGATTATTTATGTCAATGTTTATGTGAAGATATTGTATTGTCAGCATGGTCTGAAGTACATTGCAGGTTTGATCTTGCCAGTTATGAAAAAGATAAATGCTGAAGAATACATGATTTCACTGCACTTCCTTTAAAAGGAATTTCATATTGTAGCTCGGCAGTATCTTTTTCCTGATTCATGTTCCACATGTTCTATCACTCTGAAAGTAAATTCTCTTTGTTAAGTTAGCAAACCAGGGTCACTTGTCAATGTTTCTTTTGTTCTTTGGATCAACTTTCCAGTTTTGTGTAATTTGAGTGTAATAGATCGCCCTATTATTTTTCTATTTGAATCTATTTAGCCTTTCGATTATTGCAACTTTGAATTTACAGTACAAATAAATTGTTGGGTATCAGGGCACAAATTGGAGAAAAGGAAGATGAGCATCAACTCATGTCTGGGAGAACTATTCACTCATGTCATGCTTTAGCTGAAGCATGTAGATTTGTATATAACGATGCCAAGTTTGTAAATGAAAGGGCTCGCAACGACATTATTTTACTTTCACGGTAACATACTGTACCAGCTATATGTGCGCCATTTCATGGGAAACTTTGCTTGTAGAGTTGGAATACTTCCTGGTTGTGATGAATGACAATGAATGCATATTGTGGGAAACTTCTGGGCAAACTAAACAAAATGAGCTATAACTTTAGTTTTTCTTAGAGAAAATATGATGTGCTGAAATGTTTCAATTTAGTTATGTTTAAAGTATTGGATGGACAGTTTTATAGCTGTTCATTCTGATGCAAATGTTTTGATTTCATGTACTTAACTAGTTTTATAGACCATTGCTCATTATTTTCTTATTTTCTTTAGTGGGATATCAAGGCTGGATGCTCGTGCACGTAAAGGTGTTGCGATTCTTGGTTCTGGGTTTCTTAAACTCGATGGTAAATTCTCCGATCTTTCTGGCCAACATTTCTCAAAAACTATTAACCAATCAATTTCACCACCACTAAAAATGCCATGCTTTGTCAATGTTGAACACTAGATCAGATCAATTAATTTCATACTATTGAACATGTAGACAAATCCATTATATTGCATTTATGTTGATCTTTGTTCATGGCAATAGCTTTACTTTTTGTATTTTCAGACAGTTCCCTTTTATCATATTTTAAGGCAATGCCTTTTTTCTTTCTTTTTATATTTTTGGTGGGGCATGAATAAATGTGATACGAAGCAACAATGAAATTATATACTTTCTGTGTGATGACTATAAACTCTCTTATTTAAGATTCCCCAGATTCTACCGTTTCATGTGTTGATCTTCTACCTTGCAGCTCGAGCAAGAGAGGACACTGAGAAAATTGACCGTGATGTGAAGGAAAAGGCTGAGCGTCTTCATCACATTGCTACTGTATGTCAATCTAGAAGTTAAATTTTGGATTTCTGAAAGACAAAGGATATTTCTTTCTCTTGCGTCTAAATATTTGTTTGAATACTTTACTTTGCTGCAGATCATAAAGGACAGAGCTCAAACCAAATTGAAAACGGCTGCTGACAAGCATTGGAGTGATGGAGCCTTGGAGGTACCTGCCTCCTGTTCTCCTTCAGTGACTTCATTTATTCTTTATACAATGAATGCAACACTAAAAGT